CATTTATCTATCTGTCCATTTATCCATTTATCCATCTGTCCATCTATCCATCTATCTATCCATCTATCCATTTATCCATCTATCCATTTATCTATCTGTCCATTTATCCATTTACCCATCTGTCCATCTATCCATCTATCCATCTATCCATCTATCCATTTATCCGTCTATCCATCTATCCATTTATCTATCTGTCCATTTATCCATTTATCCATCTGTCCATTTATCCATCTATCCATCTATATATCCATTCATTTGCCCATCCATCTATACATCTATTCATCTATCCATCTAAACAATTATTTATTTATTTGTTTATTTATTTATATTTCACCACCCATTTAGCTTTCGACGCTCGCATCTAGCTAAAAAACTGTTCATTGGACAAAAGCATAAATTCTTTTATGCTTTATACTTTCACAGAATTAAGAAAAATGCCATATATAAGCATGACATACAGTTTTGCCTTAAATGTAAAACTGTACAAAATAGTTTGAGAATATTATGAGTAATAATTTATGAATTGAATAAAAATAAAAAATAAATATACCAAAAATGTTTCTTTACAAAATTTTTTCCATTTCTGTAATCAGTAATTGCATATTTGCAAAACTGCTAAAATCATTCATTATCTCACTTTAGCCTTTTTTCACTTAGAAAATAGATGCTCTCATATTTGATCGAATATATATTCGTTTAAAATGAAGAATTAATAACTTTCTTCACTAATAAACTGCTTATATTTCCTATAGCCACTGCTTTTCTGAGAGTTTTTTAATGCCTAAAACTACTTTATATAAACCTGTTTCATTGTCATTTCCATTATTATTATTATTATAGCAAATTTTTCTTAGTAAAACTCTCCTTCCTTACGTTTTTTTTCTTTTCTTGGAAATTAAACAATTTTCTGAAACATTCATTCAGTGTATTCGAATTAAAGTATTCGAATTTGTGACGTGAAAAAAGTGTTATTTTCCGTGAGATTACTTCCTTTTTTTTGCTCTCCAATATATATGTATTTCATGGCATAGAGAATTATCATTTTCCATTTCAGATATTCACCGTCACATTCAACTTGAAGCTATATTATATTGTTTTATACTTAATTACATAAGAAAACTAAAAGCATAAAATTTTGAAAATTTTATCGAAAATCTTTGATACAACATTTATACACTTATAACGTGTAACAATTCACGTGTTACAGACAGTGTCATAATGTTTTATTTCCATTATGCTTCAAGCAGATTTTAATTTAAACCATTTTGGAATACAATTTTCAAAAATTTCTCAAAAGCTATCTTTATATTTTAAAATGAATTTAAAAAATCGTGAAAAATTTTTTGTAAAGCGCAAAAAAATTTATTAAGACGACTTTTACAAACTGTCTAATTTTGTAAAAAAATGAAATTTGTTTTTAATTGACTGAAAAGAACTTAATAAAAAATGTGAAGAATGTTTTTTACTTGTTCTGTTCTATCCAACTTGTTTATTGAATTAAAATTGCTGTCTGTTTTAAGCAAATGCCAATGTGAATTGCTTTTTTAGATTATCTTTTAATGACTATTAATTAATGCGTTGTTTTTAAGTTTTATTGAAGTAATATATTCCAATTTTTAATTTAACAAAGCAGAAATTGAAGATGTTAACTTCGTTGCTGGCAGTAACGTAGTAAAAAATGATCGTTCAAAACTGGAAAAGAAGAAAACGTTAAGTAGAAAAAGGTTACAGAAGTGGAACGATAACTGGAAGACGAAAATATTTTTATTTTTCAATTTTTCACTAAGAAAAATCTTTTTATTTTTTATTGTACAAAAATTTTTACTGAAAGATAAATTTTTGCATCAAAATTTTATGCTAACTTTTATTATTAAATATTTACTATTTGTTTTGTTCTAGCATTTCTGCTTTGTTTATTTAAAAATACCGCTTTGAACTTTAACCTATTCACTTATTTTTGTATTTATTTAAAGAGTAAAATTCTCAAAAGTTTTATTACCAGCAGCAATTGATAGCAGTGGATTTTTTCAAGTTAAGATTAAATGACAACAACAGTGATAGTAACAACGAAAAATCATTCTAATCAGAAAAAAAAACAGTTAATCATAATTAATAATTAAGTAAATTTGGCCAATAATTGTTGCACATTTGTAGACAAACATTTGAAAATGCTATAAATATGTAAAATCATTGTTTTGGATCGAATTATGCATCAAGATTAAACACAAATTTGGTTTAAAAGATTAAGCAATTGTATGGCATATGTAAATTAAATGTCAGAGGTCAAACAGCAGTATTGTAACGTCCTCCAAATAACTGATTATTGACTAAATCATCAGTTACTCTGCTAAATTTGGAATCAGATGATCTGGATACTTCCTTAAAGTTATCAAAAAACAATTTAATTAAAGTATTATAAAATTGCAATGGCATTCTAAGAAATGACATTTTGAACAAAAATAGTTTTCATAATGCTTTTTTTAATATTTACTGTAAAAAAGTATTTTTGTTTTGTTTTGTTTTTTTTGAAAAATAAAATAGTTTCAAAAAGTAGCACATTTTCCTGATTTAAAAATTCAAAGTAAGGACAAATGGATTATTAAAATATTTGAAAAATTCTTACATCGTGTTTCTTGAGCATTTTCGGAGTTCCTTCATTAATTTTTTCTTTATCCTGCGCAATTTTCCATGGTTGTGTGGACAAAGTACTACGAAGATTTTCCTACAAACACACATACTGTAACTTATGAATGACTAATGGTAAAATTGACATAAAATAACATCTAAGTTGAAAGGTCAACTTTATTTTCAGTCTTGAAATGGTGATTATAGCAAAGCTTACAGCCAAACTTCCGAAAAGAGAAGTCATATTACTTCGACGAGCTTCTATTCGAGAACGATACAAGAATTCTCCAAAAGCTGCCAACATGGAGGCAATCATACCACCTATTAAAATATAAAATATTCCCGCTACTTTACTCAAATTCAAGCTTGCATTATGACCATCCTAAAAATTGACATAAAATAACATCTGAGTTCAAAGGGCAACTTTATTTTCAGTCCATTTTGTTTGCCAACTGATCTCATTTTATCTCCTCATAATCTATTCATTTATATTAAACCAAATAATTCATTTAATTCATGTTAATCAGTTACTAGTATAATTGTAAATTTGATGCTACATTTACGCTCATTTATTATAATATTTGAAAAATTCACTATTTGCAGAATAAATTATTAGATATCAATTGAAAAACATTTTAAATAGTAATAAACTAATTAATTACAGTACGATCGAGTTTTAATTCAATTCAAACACATTTCTTCAAAAGTATTAAAAAGTTTAAAGTTTGAGTAAAAAAGTGACAAGTTAAAAGGAGCAGTAAAGAACGGACAACTGCGATGCCCTGATCACATTCTCCACGATCGTACCACCACTTATTTTCTAATTTTTTCAATTCACCACGTTCTTGTAATGCAAGTATTGCTAGATTGATATGATCTCTGAAGTAATTCAATATTTGTGATCAAATTCGGAATTGATAATTAATAAAAAACAAAGGAACTGAAGAGAAATAGAAATAAAGATGAGTTAATCTGTAAAATATTATCACAAGTAACGTTATTTACTATTTGCGATTTACAATAAATTAATGCATAAAAAGAATTACGATTTGTTGAATATTAAAAGGATGGACTAATTTTGACTTAGCAAAAAACGTCGACAATAAAGTTATCCTCTGATAAGTATGAAAGTTAACGAGTACTGTTTGAAACTGACTTGTAAGGCGAGCCAAATGGTGTTGCAACTCCGTAACCAATGGAATTCAAATTTGAACCTGAAAAATTCTGAAATCTTATCTTAAATTCTTTTCCTGAATATCAATATGAGTAATTAAATATTTTTATATATTTTAACTTTTTAAAAAATATTTTTGTTTTAAGCATAATCTTCATATTATTATTTTTATCTTAAATTTCATGCAAATAAAAACTAAAAATGATAATAAAAATTTTTAACTTGTGCAATTTGTGAAAAATTTTGCATGAAAAAAGTTAAAATTGCTTTTAATATTTGCAAGAATTAATTTGCTGATATTTATTAGAAATGGTTTGATGCACTCATAAATTATTGCACTGTACTTAATTTACTTGTATTATATTCTTTATCAAATCTTTAATGTGTGAAAAACAAATCAACTTGCCAACTTTCATTGTATCACATGGCTTTCTTGTATTTGCATATTCATTGGCAGTAGATTCCAGTAAGAAGGCATATCGACCTTTGTGATTCCGTACACGTTCAATACCTTCAGCATATGTTGACGTAAAAACTGTTGGCACCTTAAAAATAAATTTTTCACGCTCACCTTCATTATTGCAGTCTAAAATTGAAATGGAAACGCTAATAAGTGCTCATTTTTATGCACTGTGAGATAAACCCATTGCTAGTACATCTAAATACCATAAATAGTTTTCTATTAATGATAATTTTGTTTTCGTAAGCTTTTATCAAAAGCTTTGTGGAAAAATAACGTTGAAAAGTAAAAAAAAATACTTGAGATTCCATATAACGCCACATGCGTTGATAAATTTGTACTGAACTGTACTGAAATACCAATTTTTCATTGCTAATTTTGCAAGAATAAATTTAAACTTTTTCACAATTAACTTTTTGTGGATCTTTTCTGAAATATAATTATTATACTTACAAAAAGAAATAATTTAAATATATAAAAATATACTTTAAAAAATTGCGCTGTAGAACCACCCTGTTGTATTCCATATTTGATTTTGGTTTGTTTTGCCAAGTCTTCTACTGATTCAATTGGAGCTTGCATTTTTTCTAAGGTAAGAAATGCTGCCAAATTGGCAGTATACGATGAAACGATTATCATCGTGAAAAACCACCAAGCACTACTAGCCAAACGACCACTTATTGACCTAAATAAAAGATGTAATATTATGCGAATGTACAGTAAATGGATATACTTGCTAATACTATCACTAAAATTATGTTTGTAATATTATTTTTCTTAATATTTTATAATAAAAAGCTTCTTTTGTATTAACATGATGATACTGGCTATAATTTATCGATTTACCAAAGTAATTTGCATATTCTGATCTGAAAATTAAAAATAAGTTTATTTACCTAGGAACAATATCCGTGCCCTGCTGCATAAACGCCGCAAGTGTAAACCACAAGCAATTATAAACAGAAAAATCATTAGAAACTGTATAAGAACCAGCAGACACTTCTTCAATACGCCATTCATACGGTGAAAATCGTGACACAAAAAATATCACTACTGATACCTACAATTTTACTTGACCCAATGTTCATCACGTCTAATTACTATTTATCTACCTCATAGTTCAGCATTAATAGCTATTAGAAACTACGACTATTAATGCCGGACTGTAGTCATCGTTATATAACTCATAATTATTATCCACTGTACGTTATATTTCTAGTTGTAAACTTATATGTACAATATTGAAAGTGAATGCTATATTTAAATTTGCATATTTATTCAATCAGTTCGTACCTTTTTTAATCACTTATTTTGGTTCATTTAAATGTATAATTACTATAATATCTGGCAATTTTAAGCAAGCATTAGATATATACTAGTATATATGGATAAAATGAATGAATATATTCTGAATAAATACAAGTTTGTGTTGCTAAATACAAAAATTATCTAAAATGTTCTTAAGACTAACTCTTTCATTCAGATATAACTCCAAATAATTACTGATTTTTCTAAAAAGTGAGCTTGTTTTTGTTCGAAATAAGTTTTCATATTTATCAACAAACCCCGACATAGGCAAATATTATGTACATCCATATTTCAGTACTTAATGGTTGCATAAATGAAAAAACTGAAAATTCTTGCTTGTCCGGTTTTTTTATCATTATGCTAATTCCTGTCGTCATGAATGGTTTCGAGAAATCAACGACTCGTTCTCGATCCTGAAATCAGTTCTGAGTACAAAGTTGCTTAAAGTTCTAGAAGTTCCGCTTCTATGCATTAATTTTTGATTATGACAGCATGATAATGCTAAATTATTCAATGTATTCTTGCTTTAACTGATGAATTTTCATATACATTGTGAAGCCTATGCAAATATTGCTCAAATATATCTTATAGTTATAAAACAATGCAAAACGATTTTCAAAACTTATGTAATTAATATTTTTTGTCTGTTTCTATTGAAATATTATCACTGCTAGTATCAGCAATCACAATGTTATTAATAATTTTTAGTAATGTAATGACTTGATTTATAGTAAGAGATGCAACACAAAGATCAGCTTCTCCACTAAGCAATGAACCGATTAAACCATCCCAGGAACCATCTGGTTGCTTGATACCATATTTATTCCCTTTTGCCAGAATAATCTCATAATTTTTGAAATCTTCAATTCTAAAACAAAAATCATATATATATTTATATGAAACAATGCTTTTAGATCAAAAATTCTTTGAGGAATTGCAAATTATTTATAAAACTATTATAAAATTTTGCTTTTCTCAAATAAATAAAAATAAAATAAAACTTCAACAAAATTTAAATGCAATAAGTAAAAACTTGTCGCTAAGAAGTTTGAGCAAGTCAATACAAAATCCTTCGAAGCGATTGTTGCCTTCACAACCACTTTTATTTATCCCTCCTTCACAGCCACGTTTTATCATCACAAATGGAGCAGTCGAAAATTTTAAAACACATTTCCATTATTTAGTTATTATAAGTTAGCTTTATCAATTACAAAATCAAAGCAATATTTGAACATGCTTGTATCAATAATTTATTCATAACAAAGTGATCTTTTTCTTAGTAAGCTCTCTCAGTAACATTTTGAAAAAAATCACTAAAATGAAGTGAAAAAGATTGTAACTTTATATTAACTTAATACATGCACAGCATTGAATTCGTGAGAATAATATTTAGTTTACTTCCTAAAACTTCAAGTTTTCAAATAATGCTAAAAAGTATTTTTGAAATATGGTTTTGAACTAAATGATGATCAAAAAATATGATTATAAAATTTTACGTCGATAAAAGTATTAGACATAAAAGACTGAATTTTTGGATTCTTACTACGATTGTGACGACTTTCAGAACTTTTTTCTCCCGAGAAATTCCCAAATTTTTTCGAGTGTGCTCGGCAAATGTTTGGTTGGCAAAAAATCCTAAGCCTTGTTTCCAAATCATCATCTGCATTGGAATTAGAGTTGGATTGATTATATGAAATTAATATGTTGATTATCTCAAATTGTTACTGAAAAGCTGGTGTAAATTTTTAATTAGTTCAAAAGTAATTATCAGATGCATCAGCTTATGGTCCATTAACACAAATTTGAATTTGAAATTAATGTTTAAAAAAATAAAATTTACTTCTTTTTTGTTGAAGGCCGATTGTGTACTAGAAACTAAATCAATTACAGTTACGTCATAATTTTTACGCATGCCAAAACGATCAAATTCAATTCTACCAGTCAGAGTACCATCGCTTGAATCCAATTTCAGCTAAAATATATAGAAAATTGACTTTCACATATCGAATGAGCTGCTAGTTGAGCAGCATTTTGTCTGATAAAGTAATGAGGACAAAATTTATTTAATTCATCAATTTTGCCTGGATGGAACTGCTTTTCAAATGGTAGTAGTCCATCCATCATTCATATCTGATTATCTTACTGTTTTATGAACTTGCATATTTTTGAAAATTAATATCAAAAAAAAAAATTGACTCCGCGCAGAGCTGCAGTTAAAGCTTGTCCGTGTTCAAAAGTGGTAAATGGTCTGTGTGGATTATCATGATCCATATTTGGATGACAGTAAATTCCCGGATATCCTCTATTGTAGAGTTGTCCGTGTCGAAAATTTTGTCGAAATAATGAATCATTTCGACGCAAAACCGTTGTCAGTAAAGCACGTAATACAAGCATTGCATCGTGAACAAATACAAATTTTGCCTAATAATTGCATTAATTATTTAATTTTTATCAATAAATATTCATATTTTGTGAAAGAAAACTTGTGTTTTTCAGTGAAGAGTGATAAAGATTGGGGTACAATGCTATAATATGTACTGCTTGAGGTGAAAATTAGAAGTAAAACTTTGATGAAAAGTTAAGGTCAAAAGTAAAAGTAAAATCACTTCTATGTCAGTATCACTTTTGACCACTTTTAATGAAACATTATGCAGATTTTTCCTCAGATTAAGATATTCCTTCTTTTCACGATTTATTATTTGAAATCCCGAAATGTTTATATTGCCATTTTGGAACATTTCCACATCGTACCGTGAAAAATCCTGGAATTTAATATCAAATCTGTTTGAAAAAATTATCCCTTTTGATTACTTAATTTATGTACTGAAGTGTAGCATGAAAAAAATTATTGAGTAATTTAATTAATAAGTAAATGAATACATAATTTCCAACAATATAGTGGTATTCAAGTTGACTGAACTGAGCGGATCTCATAGCAGCTAAGAACGTTTTTTGGCGATATGAAGAACCTGCGTCAATCACAATATATCTAAATTACACACTAAGTACCAGTAACAGAAATTAGTAAATTTACTATAAAATTGCAAAATTTACTGTATAACTTACGAAAGTTTTCTTATCGGATTTAAGGTTTATTTAGTAAATTAGAGGAGTAGTTTCTCACGCACTGATCATGAAGTAATTAAAATTTGATTGATTAAGAGATATCTGCTTATTATTTGGCAAAATTGTGGATAATTACAATTTTTTTCCTTTTAAACAAATAAAATTTTATATTAATTCAATTAATATAACTTTTATATTTTTGAATTTCAGTGATTTGGAAAAAAAATTTTGAAATGAAAACATTGCAGACAGTAAAGTATATAAATAAATTAGCAGTCTTTTATAATATTAAATAGAATATTGAAAATAAATTCAGTAGTAAATTTTGATTTTGTAATTGCAAAAAAGTGATAGCAAAAGATTACTTAATAGAATTATTTGCCAATCGATACGCATTCATTTTTCGAAAAAATTCCGGAAATTTATTTTCATCTTTCGGTAATCTCACCATTTCTGCGGGTATGGAAACTTTACTTTTACGATGCAAATAATGATAAATCCATTGCAGGTTAATTGCAGCTGAAAAATGACTGCCTTCACTAAGAGATAAGCTTTGCTGCGAACTACAGAGAGCAGTCTTTGGAATTACACAAAAATCGTATATTAGAAATTAAATTTGTAATGAATAAATTATGAATTCTGAGAAAATTTTCTGCTAATACTATGCTAATAACCAAAGATATTATCAATTTTGAACCATCAAATGTTATTATTTTCATTATTTATAATACTTTTTGAATTATGCAATTGATATAAAGCTGTACAGTTTTTGCCATCGTGCAGATACACAAAAGCTGGCCACTGCTTGTGCAAAATTAGATCGGCTATCAATTCTGCTGTTGGTGGACAAACACTCACTTGAAAGCTACAATTTAAAAATTATTTGAATTGTTGCATTTATTGCAATTTTAATTCAGCCAGTAATTAATGCAAAAATGCTTATTACATAATTTTATTATTATTATTATCATTATTATTATCATTACTATTATTATTATTACTTTACAATTTATATTGTTCAAAATGTATAGAATTATGAAGGACAAAAGTAAAAAACATGTAAAAAATTGCTTAAATTCATTAAGCGTGAACAATCTTTTATTTTGAATCGTCTGTTGTTATTAATTGAAAATAAAAATTGTCAATTTTTATTGAATATTTTTGCAAAAAAAAATTTGGGTTAAAAAGCAATATTCCTTCTGTCTAATATTAATTATTTAAATATTAAAAAGAAGAAAGCACAAAAAGTTATCTCAACTGACTTCTTTATTCATCATTATTATATATATAAGCTTAAAAATCTTCACATAATTAAAATATGCTAAATTTGATAGTAGTTTAATTATGTATCATATTTATAATTGAAATAGATCACGTATGGATTATGAGTTAATCATTCGTTCTCAGAACTTTATATAAATACATTTTTATTAATTACAATTAAAATAGAGACAACGAAACTTTAATTTAAGTTTCTAAGTTATTAAATATCAAAAATTTTCCACAAAAGATAAATTTATACTGATTTTGATGATTTAGATAATGTATATGTGATCATTGCATGAAGGTTTTGAGCATATTGAAATTGCTTCTAGTCTGACTCAATATAGCACTAATATAGTTTCAGACTAATAACTTTTTGCATATCTTAACATTTTCTTCATCAAAAGTTATTGCTAATAACACTCGCTATGATGGTAATAATTTTATTGATAACAGGAATATAACATATTTATTGTGTTAAAATTTATTAATAAATTATTATCCCTCTTGAACTAAATTTAATAAATGTTAACTAACAAATTGTGAGTTTCTTCTGATGGCAGAATCGGTGCCAAATCCCAATTAACCAGTGGTATTTCCATATTTTCAGCAATGGCAGAAAGTGCTTCGTGTGGTTTATTCATATTACCACATAATATTATCACCATACCGTTTTTCAAATCATCACATACTGTAGTAGCTTTTAATAATAGTAAATTTTATCTTAATAAGTTATAATTACAACTTATTAATAACAAATTTTGACTGAATCATATTTCTTTTACTTAATAAGCATTTTTTAATAGAGAATTTGTTTGACTGAAATCAGCAATTAAGGACCGGATATTTAAAATAACATTTGTCATCTTGAAATTCTATACTTGCGACTATTAATACGAAGCTAGTATTACTTAGACTTAGATAAAAGCAAATATTTTAAACTTGATGTAAAAGACGTATTTTAAGTTCCAAATTTTTATTTTTTGCAGATAATAGTCAGCAATTCATATACCGTTTTCATGCTAAATGCATTTATCTTCTATACAAATCACGAAAAAGCCTTTACATACAAATTTTCAGAACTTGAATGCGTTATTCAAATACGTCAGCTAATATTACTTATATATATATTATACAAAAAAGTAATACCAATATTTAATAAATTCCAGGTGTCTATCTGATCAGCATTCAACTGTCGATTGGAAATTGCTAATTTAAACGCACTATTTTTGTTATTGTTGTGTTGTAGTTCACCATATTGTATAGTTGAAATAATACCTTTGTCTATTTCATCTGATCTAGTGTATGCTTCTTAAATATTACATATAAGTAATGGTCAGTAGATCAACAAAATAAATTATTTATGCAAAATTCGAAATTATTATTTTTTCGTCAAGGAATTTCAAAACTGTTACACAAATTCAAAATTTAGTTCTAATTTTTTTTGCTAAATTTTAAATTGAACAAATGACAAAGCTTGCAAAGCATTCATGCTTTGTTTTGTGTGTAAACTTTTTAGAACTACAATGTTATACTCCTAACAAGTTATAAAATTTGCAAAAGCACTTACGAATGGGTATTTTTGCTGGATATGCATAGATATGAAGTATGTAAGCAGGCAAAATTTGTGCTGCTATTAGAAAAATAATTTTCATGCTTCTGATTTCACTGACATCTTTTCATGACTCTAAAATGAAATATTTCGAACTTTTTTATGAATAAAAATAAGCAGTTTTGGATTTCAACGCAGTCTCTTGCAAATATTCTGATACAGTTTGAGTACAGTTTGAGTTTTATACAAAAGCTACCAAGTTCGAACTTTATTAAAATGTATTTCAAGTCAAAAGTCAAAGGTTATTCATTTTTTATTCACTATAAACTTGCAAGCAAAAATATGTATATTATTGAGAAAAATTAATATCGCATAGCATGATATCATAACACTGCAAAAGTCATTCGGAAAAATATGCAAAGTAAATTTGACTGAAATTTTTTTCAGAGTAAAGTTCTTAGAGACTTTTTGGATAAAATCAAATTCATAAAGTGAAAGGCTAAATAATTTGAGCAGAAACAATCATTGTGAAGCTTAAAATCAGCAAAGACTTGCAACTATTCTGACATTTATCAGCGAAAAAGCCGATGAAGCCTTTCATATTTGAAACCATGCAAGAAAGTGAAGTTGCTGTATGAAAATAGAAAAAAGGATAGGAGAAAGTCAAAAACTGAAATAAATTAAATGAACTTGTTATTTTTTATAATAAAAATTGCATTTAAAGCTGCTTTTTTCCGCATGTTTTCACATTCTACGTGAAGCAAATATATCTTACGTGATGTGATATGTCATTAATCACGGATAACTTCATAGCAAAAAGTATCAATTAGCTTATTTAAGCCATCTGGCATTAATATTTATTTACTTTGTTAATAAATTTCTATCATTACTTAAAATAATAGTTTTAGAAATGAAAATTGCTCATTTATATAAATTACAATTTGATATCAGTTTAGATATGATCAAAAATATTGATTAAAAAATATGATCAGTCATCAAATGTAACTATCAGTTATATTTAGATATGATCAAAATATATAATCAACCATCAAATATAACTATCAGTTCATTCAATAACTGTAATTATTTAAAAATTATAGCGGAAAAAATACAACAATTAAAATAGACAACAGAGCTGTAAATTATGAATGAATATAAAGAAATATTGAAATAATCAATCTTCGTTGATTGTAAGTTCAAGTGAATTACACGCATTTTTTGCTATTTATTCATTTTCATCCATCAAAATCTCTGAATTTTGAGTCAAATATAAACAAATAATATTGAAAATATTTTGCAAACAAAAAATAAGTCAATATAAAAATAAGTAATTCGTCATGCTTGTGAAAGCGTAATGAAATTACTTTGGTGAAAAATGGGATGTAGCACTTCAATTGACTCGAAAATTGACAAAAGTATAGAATCTTAGCAGTCAGGAGGAAATTTAGGCCAAGAAACAAGATTCAATTTAGTCTGAAAACAGAAATTCTGCAAAAGAGCAATTCAAATAATTAAACGGATGGTCTAATCAAATATAAAATATTTTTGAATTTTTCGCTTAAGTTCAGATTTCTTGAGATTTTATTAAATTTATCACTTACGTATTGCTGATAAAAATTTAATTAATAGTTATCTATGCTCTGATATATAAAATCACAGTTACATCAGTACTGCAAAATACATCTGTATGTGTTTGAAAGAAGAGACCATTTGAGTTAATATTAATAAAAAACTTAAAAAAAAGTAGGAAAATAATACAGACAAAAGTGATATTCTTGTGGATTTGATAATTTGCTGATTAATTTCTGATAAGTTTCAAATTAAGTTTGCAACTTCTGAAGATGCTAGTAGAATTGCTTTTATTTTCAGCTTTTTTTCCAATTTTTTAGATTGAATTTATTTGATAAAATAAACGATTGCATTTCATTAAGTATAAAAAAGATACATCTTATTTTATAATAAATAAAGAATAATGTTTTGCTTAATTAATTTTTAAATGAGTATTTATTTTTGATACAATACAAACTAAAATATTATAAAATAAATGCTGAGAGTTTTGCACTGATTTCAGGTCATGTCATTCATTTACTACTATTTATGTATCCTTTAATAATTCCATGCAAAATTTAAAAATCAGCCATTTCGTCTATTTTCCTCTCAAAGAATGTTTTTACAAAAAGTAATAATTTAAAAGTTTGAAGAAAATAGACTTATTTATAAATAATATTGCCACCAAATTTGTAAATCAAAAAGTGTTAAAAGTCAAAATGCTAAACTTTATCGAATTAAAAATTAAGCAAACAAAAAGTTTTAGCAAATTTTGGAGAAAATTTTGATGAAAAAAAGATTGGAAATATGAATAAATAAGCAATATATTTTGTTATTTTGCTATTTTTTCTAAAAAGTCCTAGCATTGTTATTATTAAAAGTTCAAAGTATCATAAAGCAATCAATTTTCAAAACTTTTTATCCTTTGTTTATTTTCCAAAATCTATAAAATCCCATGTTGATCATTTGCAAGACAGCTTATGAAAGATTCTATTTTTGCATTTGTGAATCTGAACATTTTCTTTAAAGTAAGAATAATAATCTGAAACGAAAAAATCTTTAACAAAATCAAATGCTTTGCAAAGTTTTTGCATAAATCTTTTCATGTTCTTATTTTTTAATTATTTTAAAACTTAAATTGAGTTTATGGTTTTTAATCTCACCATCACCAAAATTAGTCTTACATAACTTGCTATTCCTTTATTAACTCATTAATTAATTATATCGTATACTTACATCTTAAAATATAAGTCAGTTAAGAGTATTATTGCTACTAACATAAGTAACTGCCAACAAAATTATAAAAATTTCTCCTTCTACTTTATCCCATTAAAATAGAAGCATTAATTTTCAAATCAAGTCTATATTTACTTTCTGGTCATATGCATTTGTCTGCTTTCATAATGCTATAGATTTTATTTCAAATTTTTCATATAAAGAAATGAACTAAACTTCATTGCAACTTTTTGTACTACAATATTCACCAAAGTGTATTATAATTGGTCTGGTCAGATTGACCCATGCGACTTCAGTATCATTTCTATTGACCTACTCTCATAGTTCAAAAAATATGCATTATTTAATTCATTTTGAGTTATGACAGTATTATTGCGAATATTAACAGCTTTTTTGTCTGTTGTAATTCTCTGTTTTTTTGCAATATTTAATAGAAATTCCTCGAAAATTGACCTTTCCATTTACGCCGCGACTTTCTATTCGCACCTTTTTTTTTTTTACCATAAATGATAATTTTCGAGCTAAAAATACAATTTTATTAGACATCCAAAGTGAACAAATTCTACTGATTTATTGACCTGACCTTAGCTCAGTTTTTCTGAATTGTGCGAAAAGAACTTAATTAGAGTGAAGAGTGTTTCAGACTTTCATTACTCGTTTTTCTGCTCTTTTTCTCATTCAATAAATTCTAAAATATTCAAATTCCAATTAATTTTTATGAATTAAAGTACTGTGTGAAAAACGATTCTACGAAAGTTTTAAACGAATGGACTGATAGTTATCCAACAAATTTACTGAAATAGTTCTTGCAGTAATTTATGATGGCTATCGAAGTAAGCACTCTTTCGTTGTTGGAAACTTAGTTTAGTATAAAAAATAATCCTTACTTATTAAATATACTACTGATACGCATGTATTCCAAATATATCTAAAATTGCTTACTAGATATTGCTATGCATCACTCCTATTTATCCTCAAGCAATAAAAAGCCTAAGGCTTTTTTAAATGCGTAATTAAAATTACCACTTTGGCCTCAGTCCATCTTCAAATAATTTGATTTCATCCATGTAGTCAGCAGTTCATCTTTCAGTTATGCTAGCTAGCTATGCCTAGTCAATGTTCTGCTCAATTTAATGGGCTAGGAGAAAACATGTACTTGAGATTTTCAGGATTAATTTTTTATTAAGATAATCGGTGTAATTTTGCTGCAATGAGATAAATGTTGAGAAAAAGTTATACTTTTCAACGGTGAATCCTAGTCGTATTTTATTAATGAATTCTGCAACAAATGTAATTGACTGTTTTCAGAAATTCCAAATTTAGCGTATTTTCTGTAAATAATAAATCTGCTTCAACAACTGCATTCCAAGTACATATTGTGTAGTGAATAAAATAAAAGTATAAATTGATTGCTTTTTTGTTCTTGAAATGTTACTGTTTCTTGGTACTGAACAAATTAAGAAATGTCAATACAAAGACTTTAAAAATTAATTAGTCCTCACAAAATTTTCACACTTCCATTTTAAATTAATCATGTAATATTTCATTTGTAAGTTGAAAAATGTATTTCTGGAACATTGAAACAAAAAAATTAACAAATGCTTAATATTAATTCCTTTTCACTTCTTCAAAGTGTCTCACACTAACACAAATAAGTATATAATTCATTATTTACAATTTGTCCAAGTAAGACGAAAAATGAGCATTACATAGACATGGGCAGAACAAGTAAATAAAAATGGCAAGTAAGGTAGTTCAGAGTGGGTTTAAACTTTAAACAGAAATTATACTTGAGAGAAACTCAAATTAAAGAAGCCAAAAACAGAAGAAATGAAAGACGAAAAAGCTTTCTCAAGAATCTCTGCAGTCTTTTCTTGCCCTATTTCAGTTCTCAAATATCTGCCATACTTGTATCACGATTTGATTTAATTATGTGCATGAAATTGATGTTCTTCTAATATGATGAACTCCTTGCTCAAGGATAGCTAGCCTTTTTGCTTGTCTATTTTATTCTAAATTTTTGTTTTTGCCACGACAAACTTACACTACCTCAAAAATTTTGCACAGATACATTGTGTCTACCATTACACCATTTTTTTACTATTTCATACTTTTTGATGTATTTATCATTTATATGGTAACTAATTAAATAAAAACATACTACAATTTATAATGAGCAAAGAAGAATTATTTTGTGATGACTGATCACTGAAAATAGTTATACTTGAATGAAGACTGCTGACTAGTAATCGAGTGAGATTAAAAAAGAAAGACTCTTGAGACAAATACAAGTTAAAAATGTAATTAGAGCACTGTTTGGTGTGAGCTCTGCAAGAAAACGAAAGCAATAATCACAAATGAAAGCAATAACTGGAAGCAAAATATACCATATGATATTCCGAACAATAAAATAGAGATGAATGTATCGTTTCTTCAGATTACAAACTTAATAGCATCAAAAATACCAATCTCCTTTCTAAATATATCACCAATAACTAAGACAAAAAAATGAAGGATCAATGTTTATGAATGATCAATGAAAATCGTTCCTGAAGACTAAAACGTGTTATGATCAAATTATATCAATCAGTTTACTTACCATTTTAGTCAAAAAAAAATGAAATAATTCAATCGCATAATCTATAATGGACACAAAAAATTAACATCAATCAAACATTCTACTTTATGGGTTACAGATAAAGCATCAGTTTAATATAACAATTTAATAAACTTCAGAAACATAATCCTTTATCTTTGTCAAAAATCTGAAAAAGCAACGATATATTTCCTAGAATCTATTGAAAAACACTGCGAGTGCTGTTATTTCAATATTTTTAACATGTACTGAGTTTTTTTAACATCAAACTTCATTGTAGTAGATGATGGCTTTGAAATTGAAGACGTGGGGGGACAAGGAGGAGCTGGAGGTGCTGAGTTTGTTATGTATATTTGTGGCGTGACATCAGATTCATTCAATGATTTAATTTCTGTCTTCAGAGATGTGTGCTTCTGAAGAAAATATTACCTTTATTAATTATTAAGTTTCTCCTTTTTATGATGAAGAGAAATACTGTAGTGCAGGACAAGAAATTCTTTACAAAATTTTACAGGAAGTTTCTATTCATTTCCTAATATATATGCTACAGTAACTAATATTATTTCGACTTTCCTACCTAAAAATAATAGTGTCATGGAGCTTCATGAATTTCTATCTTTATTCACCGTAACCATTGATAAAATTGTCCAATGACTTTAGTAAGAATGAATTTTGCGTGCTAAGAATTAGCCATGCTAATTTTTCGCGACCAAAGCAAAAAGAGTACAGTTTTTACAACCTTGTAAGGTTTCACGTTAAATTTTACAAAATTTAATATTTTTGATCCGCAATTTCATGAATTAGGAACATGATTAGCAAGAAGTTCAAAAGGTTGTTGCACGGCTGTCTCTAATTACAATGGAATAGAACTTCTGTTATTAAAAAAACAAAAACCCACTATATCATATAATGGTTCGTCAGACGCAGCAAAACATTGTTCTAAACCAAACTTTTTAAACAAGGTAGCATTTGCGCCAACATTGAGCACTGGTTCGCAAGGTAAATAACCACATTTTTTATAAAATGCCTGCTTATTTTCACTAGATAAATACACCTGAAAGACACTTTTATAAGCAATACCTAAATTAATTTTTCTTCAATACAAATTCTGTTACTCCTAAAGTTATCATTTTACATTCTACAACAAAAATTTATTGATATAAAAAAGTTTCACCTTTAAACTTTTCCAGTAATTAGACTCTTTAATGAACAGAAAAATGACTTATGTTACCTTGCTAAAGCCAAACTTTTTAGCCTCGTTTTCAACTTGAGCCATAAGCCATGATCCTAAACCTCTGCCTCTAAGATTATTCGAGACAATTACCGATTCAATCCAGCAACACTCTGGTTTTGTAGGAAGTGGACATAATCTAGCATGACCAACCAATTTTTCGGATTTTACATCAATCAATACATATGACAGTGGTGGAATAGAATTTAGTGATTTACGTAATGTATTCTCACGTGCACCCACACTTCGTGGCCATTCCTAACGCAAAATTTAAATGCAAACAATAATGATAAGAATGCAAGGAAATTACTTTTTAAAATGAACCTGATTCAACAACTGTATACATTGCAAGCAAAGATCTCTTCTTTCTACCAGTGGCACAAGAATGTATTGCATATCCAACATTTACATTACTATTTTATCCTAAAATAATTTACACTTACGAATTAAAATAAGAAAATATATAAATTACATCCATAGCATTAAATCAAAAAAAAAACTTGAAATAATTTAAATATCCATTTTTTTACAGCCTAACACGTTTATACACGCTAACTACCGGAAGAAGAGTAAACACTGCTAACTAATATGAGTAAATTAGCAAGAAAATTAGCATTTCAACAAAAAAATCACGACCAGACTTTTAATAATGACGTAAATCAAAATGAAGTACAAAACTCGCCCGAGTCACTATTTACCAGGGACACCCGCAGATTAAAATCCGGTCTATTTAAGACATCAGTTATTAAAATAGTACTTGATGAGGTCGGTCGTAGCATCGGCGTCGTGAACGTGGCTTTCAAAGCTAATGTAAGTGCCTTTCTCTCTTTATTCAATTTCTTTATTATTTAATCAGTACTTATTTGCATTACTTTTTTTACTCATTTGCATTATTTGCTTTGCTAATTATGCAATTATTGAAAATATTTTAGTTTTGCGATTGCTGACGTAAGAATACGTTGGCAATGAATTACTTCCAAGACTTATTCTTGGAAGTATTGGGGCACGCAGCAAATACGGGTGCCCTCTAGAAATTATTTTAGTAGCAAATGGCGAGAATCATGGAATTAATACATGATAGGTGGCAAATAATCGAAGAGCTAGGCAGTTTAAACAAGCTCCTGGTTGTTTTTATGGATTTATTATTTTCATCAAATTAAAATTTAGTTTGTATTTGTCACCTTTTTGTAATTGCAAACTTCGAAATAATGTTCGGAGTTGCATAGTTATTTTTTTGTCATTAGTTTTATTATAGTTGATTGTTTGTTATTTCTTTTTTGTCTGGCACTTTTTGTTTTCATAAATGGAGCTGCGGAAGACAAGTATATGCTGAAGTTACTGAATCTTGTCTTTTGTGGCTCTCCAATATTTTTAATCTATTTTTGTGCTCTTTAACTCTTATAATTAATCATTTTAGTTGTTGTAGGGTATGCTTTTGCATGTATAATATATATATTTATATATATATGTTTTTTATTGTTTTGAAAAGTTTTAAATTGCATTTTAATTTTTCCATTTAATTGTTATTTGTAATATCTCTTGTTGAATGTTTTGTATTTGTATTAGTAATATATAAATTATGAACTTTGTAATATCTTCTTAGATGGGTTCTTTTGTATATATGAAATCAGTTGTTTTTTGTGTTTATTTGCATTATTTTTTTCTGAAAATTAAAACTACTTTACAGTAATTTTTACTCTTTATCATTATGGAATTATTTGT